GGGGACAGGGGGACACAGGGGTCACAGGGACCTTGGCAGGGGGGCGAACACAGGGCAACAGGGGCCAGGAGATACTGGGGGGTGAGAGGGACTGGGGGGTCAGCAGAGCATCAGGGTGAGACTGGGGGGTCACCACAGTGTCAGGGTGAGACTGGGGGGTCAGCGCAGCGTCACCAGTCCTGGCTGTGTCATCTGGAGCAGCCGTGTCCCCCCGCGCTGTGTCGGTACCACTGAAGGTTGGGCCCCAAAGCAACAGCGGGAGAAGAGAATCCAAAGGTGCTCGGCAATTCCCCGAGCTCCAGAACATCCAACTGCGCCCTGAGTCCCAACATCCCGAGGGATCCTGCCAGGAGTGGGAGGAGACCCAGAGCACCAGAACTCCCAGAACGGCGGAGCAGCAGGATCCTGGAGCAGAGAATCCCTGGAGCAGGACACGTCAGGGGCGTTCTGTCGCCTCCCAGGAAGCCCCGGGAAAAGCCAGGGGAACCCTGAGGGGGTCCCTGTCCCCTTCGCCACCCCACAGCTCCAGCTGGTGCCAGCACGGTCAATGTCCTTTCAGTGTCCGGTCAATGGCCGGGGGGTGAAGGCCCTGCCGTGGCTTTAGGGCAAAGGAGGGGGGACTGGGGGCAGAAATTCCTCCTCGTGAGGGCGATGAGCTTCCAAAGCTGCTTTGGTCAAACCGTGATCAAACACGAGAAAGCGACGTTTGGGAGAAAACTTCCTAAATTCCACATTGGCAACACCTCACTGCCCGCATTCCTCTCCCCATTTCCCCACATTCCCACCATTGCTCTCCCTTTGTCCCCACATTTTTCTCCCTTTCTCTCTCCCATTCCCCTCCACTGTCCCCCATTTCTCTGTTAATTTCCCCCGTTTTCCCCCATTTCTCTTTTAATTTTCCCCATCCTCCTTCATTTCCCTACCCATTCCCCCACAGGAGCCGCCGCCATCTTGGCCGTCACTGGTGACATAACTTCCGGCGCCCTATGACATTTTTCCAACGCCACTTCCGGTTCCGTCGCGGCTGTGGCAGAGCGAGGAGGGCCCGGCAGGTACCGGGGGGGCCCAGGGTGCTCGAGAGGGATTTTGGGGGTCCCGAAAGGGCTCGGGAGGTACCCACGAGGGACCGGGAAGGGGTTCCGGTGGTGCCGGGGAGGGCCCGTAGGGGGTTCTGAGGTCGGGGGTACCGGGGGATGGAACCGGGAGGCTCTTCCCTCTTTAACTCCCTCCGTTACCGCCCCTCTCCACTTTTTCTCTTTTTCTATCCCTCTTCCCCTTCTCTACCCCTTCTCCCTACTCTCTCCTTGCCTTTCCCTTCCCTTTCCCTTCCTTTTCCCCCATTCCCCTTTTCCCGTACCTGGTTTCTCAGCCATGATCGAGGTTGTCTGCAATGACCGTCTGGGGAAGAAGGTCAGGGTGAAATGCAAGTATCCGGATTTGGGGGTTCGGGGGGTTCTGGGGGGGTTCTGGGGGGTCCCTCCCCGTGCCTCCTTTCCTTGACGGCTCTGCAGCCCCGAGGACTCGATCCGGGACCTGAAGAAGCTGATCGCAGCCCAGACCGGCACCCGCTGGGACAAGATCGTG